GTAGAACAGCAGCACAGAGGAGTTGCTTCATCTTTCTCTGTCAATCATTTCTCTGCTCCCAATCATCCTCAGAGCCACTCCCTGCTCCCTACCCCAGGTTGCAAACAAACATTTGGAAACCTGCAGTGAAAGCCACCAGGGTGTGACCAAGGCATTTTGCTGCTTGTGGCGGAGCAGCAAATAGTGTGCTTTCTCCCTCTCTGCCTCCCACCTGCTGTGCAAGTCAAGGTGCCCAGTGCAGAAGCCCAACCAAGTTATTTTGGTATTTGGGATAGAAAAATCTCACAATTTTTCTTGTCCTTCTTTAAAAGGAACAGTTCAGCAACAGTAAGGGCAGCTATCCATGCCTTGCCCTTTCATGACTCCCCAAAATCAGCTTCAAGTGTGTTGGGTGGCAATTCGTAATGGGGGAAAAGAGGGTGTCGAGACAATTGTCCCCTTGCTTAGGCATCTGAGTAAAAGGTGGCATTCGGATAGAGATTTGCTTCTTTGCAATTAGAATGATCTTGTCAGGTTAAAGCTCCTGTGTTTTAAGGGCAGGAGAAGAGGCTTGGAGATTGGGAAGTAGTTTCTGCTGCAGGAAAACAAAAGTACCAGGAGATTCTAGCATCAAAACCTTCTGATGGGTTCAGGGCATTCACCACAGTTTTAATATATTTATTTTTTTACTATTGTTGGTATCCGCCTGTCTTGAAAAACAATGGAGTGAGCCGGGGGGGGGAGGCGAAGTCAAACCACTGGAGTATCACTGCGTCTGCTGTGGCTTCAGAGACCTGTAACTCGCAAGTGCTGCTGCCTCTCATGTTGTTTTTACTGCATTAGCAGGCTTGGCATGCAGGGAAAGTCCATAACTCACCAAGGGTTTGAGACCCATCAGCTCCTCTCACCTAGTTTAGCTGGCCAGTCAAAGCAGTTTCCTGGGGTGTGGCCAGTGTTGCATGCTGACAGCTTCTAGGAGCCACAGGTGATAGCTGAGCGCAGGATGGGGACTACAGCTGGACAAACTATTCCAGGAGGAGCACAATGTGCCGTCCCCCACCAGATTTATTAAACCCTAGTAACATCCCAAACACCAGTGAATTCATACTTGCCATGGATTATATCTGCTAGCCTCAATGCTTGGCAATATGTAGAGTTAGAATAAATTAGCTTTGCTGTTTTGTTCCGGTTTACAGTTCCAAGCTGCTTTGACAATTGGATTTTCTAATTGTAGTTTTTACGAGAATTTTGATCCCATTTTATGCTATCTTTTATTTTGTTATTTCTTATGAATCCACTTCATTTAAAATTGGTGTGTGTCTATTTGGGTGAAGCCTTTGTACCGAACGCAGTTCCTAAGTTCCTGGTCGCTTGCTGTTAAATTAGTGATCCTGAGGCTCAAGAAGTAAGGAGCCACTGCCATTTCTCTAGAGTCTTAGGGGTGTCTGCTAAGGTCTGAGAGTCTCCTGTCCCAGGCTGGCTGGACAGTAGTGGTGGCAGTGTATCTTGCAAGGCTGGTGGTAGACCCTGAATAGTAGCTCTGCTCTTGTAGTGCAGACCACCAGCAAAACCTCCTTTGTGCCACTTGAGCAGTTTCCTGCTCTCCCAGGACAACTATTGAGTCCCTCTGATATGCTGGAGTGGCTGGTTTTCAGATGACATAGGTCTACTGCTTTCATAGTTGCTTTAGCCATCTTTTCCAAAAATTATATAGTGCTATTTAATGCACTTTTAAGTGTACACACACCAAGTAAATGTTGGGGGTCTCACCTTAGCTTTTAAGTCAGGCAAAGGCAAACTCCGGCCCTCCAGATGTTTGGGACTACAATTCCCATCATCCCTAGCTAACAGGACCAGTGGTCAGAGATGATGGGAATTGTAGTCCCAAACATCTGGAGGGCCGGAGTTTGCCTATGCCTGTTTTAAGTTATTGTGGCATATGCTTTCATTGATTGGAGTCTGATCAGCTGCAAGAGCTGTGTTTTTTATTCCAACTGACTAAATATGGCCAACTCCTCCTGGTAGCTGTCATCTTAAACAAGCATTCACACATAAAAGTGTTGGGCTCCCAGGCACATGCCAAAATTGAAGTGAGAGCAAAAACTTAGATGAACAACTTGCAGGTCAACACATCTGAAAGCTCACAGCTCCCATCATCCCTGATCTGACACCTGTAGATTCCTCATCCCTGAGGTATAATCAAGAAGTAAAAGGAAATATTGAGCAGGTGGTCCAGAGAAGAGGCAGTGGCTAAAGTAAAGGTAGGGCTATGAGGGGGAATGGAAGGCACCTGCAATGCTGGAAATTGGCATTTTCAAACATACTATTATGGACCAACCAATTAAATCTGTTTGGCATTCATCAGCTGCACCCCTATGGGACATCTGTTTGTGCCTGCATTGCAGGGGGTTGATTACTTGTAATAAATGGTGATGGATTTTCCAGTTTAAGATGACCCTTCAGCTAGCACCGATGAAGCAATTTCATGAGTCCAGTTCTTTAAGTACAAGTTACCAACAGGCACAGAATTTATCCAGATTGAAAAGAACCTACTAAGCAAAGTAGTCACTTCATATTCAACTTTAATATAAAAAGACATTAATCACTTTCAAATGCATTAGAAAGTTTCCCCTTACAAACTGCATGATCTGGCACAAAAACTGAGTTACAGAAATAGGCATCTACCTGCCAGGTCTGGAAAACATACACTGCTGTTTTCAAATCAGGTGCTTCAAAAGCACTTAAATTATTAAGGCCGCAATCATGAAACCACTTCCTTGAAAGCAGCCCCATTAACCTCAGGAGGGGCTACTTATGCAAAGTGGTTTCAAATTGCAACCTAAACTAAGACAAAGACATTTAGCTATACATACACAATGACAAGGATCTTTATGCTTTGAAAGAGTTGTTCGGGTTGTGCATGGTGCGCAGCCATATTGGCTTTGAGGGCTATGGTAATTCCCATTGCAAAGATATTACAACTCTTTGCTGGGAGATAAGGCGTCCAACATTTTGACATGTGTCTTTTGCATACAGTGTCACAGCTGCAGGAATCAAAATGAGTTTTAAAAAGCAACATTTCCATTGATTTATGCAAACAGATGCAAGGTAGCTAAAATTGCTTTGTCAGGTGGCAGATATACTCCTTTAACTGTTAAATGAAACTTTTTTTTTTCAAAATAATCAAAGTACTCACAGCGCTTTCTATTTTCCCGCAACGCAGTATTGTTTCCTGTATTACCAGTTTACCAAGGCAAAAGTTGGGCAATTATATTGCAAAGGTTATCACATATAACACACCCTCTCACTGGAAACCGCTTCTAGGAGTAAAGACAATTCTTACGCACTCAAACAATTTCATCTTTTTCTTCAATGTTAACCTGCTATGGTAACATCTGTTAATTATGACTCAGCTGAACGCATATTCACACTTGGCATGAGTGGAGCAAGTTAAGTTCGGAGAACACTCTTGAAAGGCCTCTGTAACAGTCTTGTAGTAATTAGTGCAAGGTGAAGGGGGTGTTTCCCCCCCCAAACACAGAGAAGTAGGATGGTAAACTTCAGCCAAATAATTCACTTGATGACACAAACATATAAATACTTATAAATAAAACCCACATAATTTATGCTTGAAGGTAACAAAAACATGGCTTGAACTTAGGCATCAAGAGCTCCTGCAGCCTGATGAATGCTCCTCCTCTGATGTTCACATGTCAAAACTAACTTAATTCTTTACTCCAACCTTCTTCAACTTGATGCCCTCCAGATATTTAGGACTTCAACTTCCATTAGCCCCAGCCAACATGGCTGTGCTGACTGGGGCTAATGGCAGTTAAAATCTAAAACGCCTGCAAGTAAAAAATGTCTGGGGAGCAATAGATTGGAGAAAGCTGCTTTTCATAGTATTCCCAAGACTGAATGCTGTCAACTGCTCCTACCTTAAGAAGTCAGATATTTACACACTTCTGCTGAGCTGTGGAGAGAGGCCCACGGTATGGAGAAAAAAAATCCCTTTTTCAAAGTGATTTAAAAAAATACAACTGCAAATATTTCAGGTTTTAAATAAGCAGTTGGCAGAAGATTTATAGCAAAAATATATCTTCAGAAAATAGCTGAAAGGTTCTGAATACTGATAAACATTTTTTTCAAAACTATTAACTATTTAAAAACAGAAAAGAAAGAATGACAGAGAAAGCTAGCTAGGATAATGGGCACCGCTGCTTTTTTGGCTCTTCCAAGAGCTTATACGGCAAATAAATGTAGAGAAGTCTGTGAAGTATTTACTTGGGATAAAGGAGTGGGAAGGGTAAACCAAACCTTTGGTCCTCAGGCCAATTACTTCAAAAGTAGTCCCACTAAAGTCATATGATTAAACCAGCAAAAGCAAATGCAAAGGATTGGTGGAAGGTTCCCAGCCTAGATAAAATATGAGCTTCAACTTAAGCAGAGGCCTTACAGCCCACCTTTTGCATGCTGAGGGCTGGAATCTATTCTTGCACTTGCACCTTACAGGGGAGGATGAGATGGTCGAGGGAGGAGGAATCTTGCCACACCATTTTAAGCTCCTTCTAAATACTAGAAGGATCTGGTGTTGGAAGTGTTGGGCCCCAAGGAGGCAGCCTGGGGAATGTATGGGTTCAGGACAGAGAAATGGTGTGACTAGCCTTGTGCACCCAGGAGTCTTTTGACATGAGAAGCCACGACTGAAACCCCAGGAAGTTCCTAACGCAGTTTGTGGCATGGCATAGGGGTGTCACAAGGTTTCAAAATCAGTAGGCTGGCAACTGGTTGATGTGCCTAGAATACCTCCCTGAATTGTGGCTGCTGAAAATATGTAAAGTTCAAACACTACAAGTTGCAGGTTAACTTTAGACATTAACACAACTGTGCAAAATGAAGTGCTTTGCTTTTGCTTTTTCTTTTTTTGGAAGATCATGTGCAGCTTTGAGAAGATAAACTATTTGGAAGTTTCACTACTCGGGATCTGGCTTCTTTAAAGGATGTCTCCTTCACTCTTTGTCTCAAGATTCAACAAGAATCTCCACAAAATGATCAAGCTCATTAAGGTCAGATTTACAGTTAGAGTTAGAATTTGTGGCTGCTTGAGGAAAAGTTTCAAGTACATCACAGTGTCCCATTTTTGTACTGCCCATCATTCCCGTTAATACTGTGTCTAGATTGTAATAGGAACTGTCGACTTCTGAAAAGAGATCTTCAACCGAGTCAGGAGTTTTTGTTTCTAAGGTTTCAAATATTTGATCCAATGACTTGTGGAAGTTTCCTCTATTTTCTGGAGGGCTCTCCATGTCCCACACATTACTCTGCAGGTTTCTGGGAGCTTGTAGTGGAGCAGGTCTTAAGATTTCTGAACTCTCTTCTGACTGTGCGTCTTCAAAGTCTTTTGAGAAGCCACTATAACCTTGAACAAGCTTTTCTTCAGCTTGCTCCTTCGAAGACCGACAGAGAATATCTGTTGAAACCAGCCGATCAAGAGAGGTTGGTCCTGTACTCTGTGCATTTATCATCTGCCAAGTTCCGTCTTGGGTCATTTCCTCTTGAATCTGCCGTACTGTATTGGCTATAAGTACTGAACGATACAGATTAGGTTCAACAAGCATGTGGCAGAGCTGAAGTTTAACCAAAGACATGTCTAGTAGTGACTGGCGCTGCAGGTTATATGAAGGAATGGCTTTAAAACCAGCTAAAGTTCCTTCAATATCTTCCTCTCCATCAATACATTTCCTCTTCAGTCCACGTACAAACATTGTGTCCTGTTGAAAACAGAGCAAGATGCTATTAGATAACAAATCCAGAGCTTCTCTTCTAAGGTTTTATATTTAAAATCAAACAGCTTTATTACAAAACTGAGATTAATAAGGCATTCCTTTAGTCTGTACCCTGGAAATTAAACTCAGCATTTGACACAAAGTAATATCAATGGCACCCCAGGTGAAACCAGCTTTTGACAAGTGAATAATCTGCAGGTTCCTCTTATTAAATAAAACTTGAGTTAAAATCATTTTCAAATGTGATTCGCACACACCTAACATTCGATCAATACAGAATAGGTACTGTCTTCATGAGATAGCTTGTGCACAGCGACTCTATTCCAGGACAATTAACCTGGGACCAGTAAATAAATGTTCTGAATTATTTAGCTACAAGGTACGTTCAGACATCCTGGCACCAGAGAAGAGCATCTCTGCATGAGAGGGTAGCTAATACAAGCTGATTCTATATTCCTTTTTCTTGGTATGGAAAGAATCAACATACAACATCACAATATTTACAATTCAGAATGAGAGGGGTTTTCAAAAGATTTCCTAAAGACCATAGGAGCCCTGTGAGTCTGCCTATGGAAAGTGCTACAGAGCACAGATACTACTGTTGAGAAAGGAAGATGGCCATAAGGAGCAGAGCTAAATCCAGTTTGTCACATCCATGGGGGTGGGGGGTGGGGAGATTCAAGTGCTCCCTAAGGGATCCTGGACTCCAAGCCAGGCATAGGTCAATGGCTATAGTCTAGCCGTCAGACAATTATTTTTAAAGGAAGTCTGCAGTTGGCAGACCAACCAAAACTGGTGGTGCCATTTCAGCAACAAGATGCAGAACCAAGTCTATAAGCACCCTCAAGTTTCCAATCTGCTTTTTCAGGGGGAGCATGACTCTTCCTAGAAGTGGCAGCCTACCTATTTCTTGATTTCTGTGCTGCTTATCATCAAAATCTCCATAGCCTAGACTAAGCTTCATCTTATTAACCCTCATCCAGATAATCTTGGATTACGTGACTGAGGTGTCGAAAAGCTCCTGTTGCTGTTTGCAATGCGGAAAAAGGAGGTTCTTAAATGTGTCAGGCATATTTGCTAGGAAGATGAGTCTCAATCACATTTAGCACCATTGCGTTGTGATTCAACACAAGCAAGGTTTTAAACATATGAAATGGACAGACCATTGGTATAGCTCAGCATTCTGTACACTGATTGGTAGTGAGTCTCTAGGTTTTCAGACACGAATCTCTCTCTGCCACAGCTGGAGATGTTGGGACTTTCTGCATGCAAAGCATTACTGAGCTGTAGCCCCTTCCGTAGGAAACAAATACTTGTGCGAATGCTTTCGTCTTCCTGCTAGTTTAACAAGAAGCAAGACTGCAAGAAAACAAGCAGCTCTCTGACCCACTTAGGAACTACAAACATCTCGGTCGGTAGAGCATGAGACTCTTAATCGCAGGCTTGTGGGTTCAAGACTCACATCGGGCAAAATAATCCTGAATTGCAGGACATTGGACTAGATGACCCTTGTGGTCCCTTCCAACTCTACATTCTATGATTCTAATAAACAATGATTTTCTCTTCTTCTCTTTCAAACTCCTCCTGCCAACTCTACATATCAATATGCTGCTACAAATAAAGCAGCGTCCCTCTTGGTCTTGTCTCTGGTGACTTGAAGTTGTGTCTTATGGTGGTTGTTCTGGCAGAAATCCACCATGGAAGGGAATGCTCATCACAGTGCCACAACAAAACTATTCTCACAATAGCTGAGTAGACATGTCCCCCAGACACTGGAGGTGAGGGAATACATCCAAAGGAAGGCTAGTTAAGTGTGTTCCAGATGAGTGCACCAAAATACAAAGTTGGTGGCCCAGAGCCTGTTCATTCCCAATTCTCAGGCCCACATGCTCAATTCAATCAGACTTCATGAACTAATCAAACCAGGGTTTGAGGGTATATCCGAAAAAGGCAAAATAATTTGGACAAATCAGTTTGCCCAGTTCAAGGGCAACTGCAAAACCATAGGGGAAATGGGAACTGGCAAGCCTGAGATTCAAGCAAGATGAGAGATCATAGAGCCAAAGATAATCACTACCTTTTTCTCAAAATCAACTCATCCCACATATCTGTTGGTTGTAATGAGGAAGATATGGACAGATTTCTGCCACCACATGGATCCAGCGACTATTGTGATTTTGTTTAGCAATATGCACCCTCCAATTCTACCATTACAGGAGACTTCTAGTTTCACCCCTACCATACTCTCTTCTCTTCCTTTTCCAGTGAAACAGAAAAAGAAGATTTCCTTCCATGCAGATTATATAGAAGAGAAAAACCAGGGCAAGTCAGAGCTGAGTGCATTATGACCAACCTGAATTCAGGGCTACTTCAAATACAAGACTACTAAAGTCAAGACATATATGGTGGCAGAGATTATCACAAGTAACTATTTAACCCATTAAATTCCCATTTCCTTGAGTCCCTGCACCTTGTGACTTGAGAGCACTTACTAAGTCCAGTAATGCTTACCAGACAAACTTTAATCCACAAGTTACCGTACTTACCAATAATTGTGTCTGATGCAGTCCTTCCTCTTCCCCCATATTACAGAGCAAGATTCCATACAGCAAGTGTTCTAGCACCACCTACCTGAGAGCAGCAGGTGACAAAATAAATATGCATTCCGTCAGTTAGAAAGAAAATTCACAGAAAATACGATAGAAACATTTTCAAAGCAAACTTATTTCCTCTCTTACCATATGCATTCCCTCTCCCATTTGACAAAATAATGTGAAGTGAAAACTAGGCTCGCAGAAAGTATGCAGTAAACCTCCCAAATCAGCCCCTGCAGCTATGGCTGATGAAACTTGAAACATTTATGTAGCGCTTCCAAGCATTCAAAGCATTTCACATATATTACAGTGTTGCAATCCTTGCAAACACCCAGCAGGATAGATCAGTATTATTCCCACATTTTAGATGGGTGGTGGTGAAGGATAAAGCATTGGTGGCGGCCCACGCTTGTCTAAGGGCACCTATTGTTATTAATTAGGGATGTGATTTCAAAATGCTTGATTTGAATACAGACACAGACTTCAATGGTAGGTGACCTTATAATTAGAAACTGTCAATTCACTCATGTTTGTCTCACATAGCAACAGTAGGAGCTAGCAGCTAGTATCATTGTCAACAAGGCTGGTACTTATTGTCCAATGCCCTCAACTCCAGCTGTGGTATCCCAGGGTAAAGGAACTCACTTCTACTGCTAATTTTAATAAGATTTTCAATTTTTTAATGTTCTTGTTAGAACATATGAATGTGAAGCATTAATAGATTACATGTTAAAAATACAGCCTTTAATACAGTACTTTCAGTCCTGAATCTACTGCCATCAATTTCATTGGGTGACCCCCTGCCCACTCACCAATATTGCTGAGACTGGCAATATGTTGTAAAAAGGTAAAGGACCCCTGACAGTTAAGTCTAGTCATGAACGACTCGGGTTGTGGCGCTCATCTCACTTTACTGGCCGAGGGAGCTGACGTTTGTCCGCAGACAGTTTTTCCGGGTCATGTGGCCAGCATAACTAAGCCGCTTCTGGCGAAACCAGAGCAGCACATAGAAACACCGTTTACCTTCCCGCCGGAGCGGTACCTATTTATCTACTTGCACTTTTTGGTGTTCTTTCAAACTGCTAGGTTGGCAGGAGCTGGGACCGAAAAACAGGAGCTCACCTCGTCACGCCAACCTTCCAATCGGCAAGTGGTTTAGACCACAGTGCCACCTGCATCCCTTGGAAATATGCTGTATGTCCTGACAATTGCTAATTACTTTCTCCCTCAATGGGGAAATGAATATTTACCAGCTAGATGCAGTCAGCTAATCCCTTTAGCTACTGCTCATGTATAGTTCATGGATCTCTGAAACCTGGGGTATGAACCAGTTACTTATCAGATTTTATTGTGCTTCAAAGCTTATTACAGTGGTACCTCGGGTTAAGAACTTAATTTGTTCTGGAGGTCTGTTCTTAACCTGAAACTGTTCTTAACCTGAAGACCACTTTAGCTAATGGGGCCTCCTGCTGCGCCGCTGGAGCACAATTTCTGTTCTCATCCTGAAGCAAAGTTCTTAACCCGAGGTAATATTTCTGGGTTAGCATATACCGCTGTATTTGCTTCTTTACATGCCAAGATACCTGTCCCTTTACTCATCTGCACTTCTCTATTTTATTAATGTTTATTGATGCTATTCTACAATTTCCCTTTTCCTGCAAAAAAGATATAGTTGCTGTGGATCGAATCCAAGTCACCCACATAATACGAGCAGACAACATGATTACCAAAGTAGAAAATCCACAGTACTGTACTTTGAGATTGCATTAACATTCCAAATGTGCCCTGCATAGGATACCAAGTGCTTCAGTCAAGAGCTAACAACAGGAGGGCTAAGGTGATGTCACCATATTTAAATGTAACTGTGAAAGATATTTGAGAGGACTTATCTGTGATCTGCTACATGATATTTGATAAAATGCAAGATGGGCTGTGGGGGCCTGGATAGCTAAGGTCTCTAGGACTTAATCACCATATACCTGTAAAAGCTAGAGACTAGTTTCTTTCAAGTTACTACAGTAAGGAAAAATAGGTGGCACTTTACAGACTGCAGTAAGTTGCATGGATAGGGTGGGATGCTGGTGTGAGATATAGAGATAAAAATCAGGAAACAATGTTTCTGTGTACAGGATGGTAAGGACAACTCTGTCCAATGTATGAGATGAGAAGGATTGGAGGATGACACAAGAGGCTAAGAAATTACTAGATTATGTAGGATGTGGGGATAACACAGTTACCAAAGTGACGTGGCAAGGGCTGGTCCAGCTGGAAAACTATTTTAAGGTTTTTAAGATGAAGTTAAGCACAAGCCATGCATAGGGCTGCCAAGATCAAGTTTCTGGGTGCTAGGGCAACTGAATGCCTACAACTTTTTCTAGCCCTGAGTGAACTTATAAAACACAAAAAAGGGAGGCTTGTTGAAGAGTCTTGCAAAATTAAGTACAGGGACAATGTTTGGAAAGGCTAATGTGTGGAGCTTTTTGGTTCAGAAAAAGACAGCTAAGAGCAACAGCTTAAATCATGCACTGCGTGGTGAAACCAAATAGAATCCCTCCCTTAATAAACCAAGGTTTTACTTAATAAAAATTGATGTGTAGTAGATGTAGGAGAGACAAAAAGTACTTCATGGTTTTATTAAAGTCCCTGCCACAAAACATGGGTGATGCTCATTGGTTTAGGATGGCTATAGAAGGGGTTTAGACAAACTCATGGTGAATACTTATCAATAGTTGGTTAGGACACAATGTTAACCAATAGTTTACAGATAAGAGAACAAACCTAGCCTCCCCCAGGCTCGCATATACCTCTTCATTCTGATTTGGAGTTTAGAAACTTTACATTTAATTTTGGATTAACCACAGCTTGCTATTTTATCTGAACTCTGACAAACTGTGGCCAATCTTAACTATGGTTAGTGGAAACATGCTGACTTCAGGCCACAGCTTATTCAGCTAACTTGTTTTAATTAAACATAGTTAAAGTTAACCATTGTCAGGGTTCAGACTATACACTACTGTGGTTAATATAGAATAGAAGCAGAACAACCCAATTCTCTCTTCACTGGTGCCCCAGAGGAGAGGTGCAGCTAGGTTTGTGCTTGATGTTAAAAACCATGTTTTGGCAATGTATCCAAAAGTAGCCAGCATGCCACTGAATACCACTAACTTGGAATGGAAACAGTGTATTTTTGTCTTTGTTCTGTGCTTGTGGGATTAATGGATGCATCCAACTGCCCACTGTACTAAGATGGACTGATCTGATCCGGTAGGTATCTCCCTATAAACTGGGTTCCTCTGGCTAATCAAAGTCTGTGCCTTCTAGCAGGCTTAAAAACTGAGAAGTCCCACATATCAAATCTTACCTCAGTTGCCTTAGGTCTGAACCTTCTAGCAGGCTTAAAAACTGAGAAGTCCCACATATCAAATCTTACCTCAGTTGCCTTAGGTCTGAACCTTCTAGCAGGCTTAAAAACTGAGAAGTCCCATATATCAAATCTTACCTCAGTCGCTTTAAGCAACCAACAATTCAGCTTCAGGCTCTTATCTGCATTATTGAAATAATCATGTCCTATGTTAGAAGGCTATAAAAACAACTGAAATGTGGGCCGAACAACTGAAAGAGAGCTATGCAAATTAGAACAGAATTATTAACTGAAATACTGTGAAGTTAGATAACTGAAAACTTTTGCCTTGGACAATTGCAATAAACTAAAGTTGTACTCCTAAACACAATTACTAATAAGCAAATCCCCTTGGACTGACTTCAGAATAAGCATTCTTACAATTGTGTTGTAAACTGTTTCTGTAAAAGGGATAGTACAGTGCATTATATTCAAGATAGTTCAGAATATCAGGTAGACCAGAGAATCAAATATCACAGAAAGGACAGAAAGAACAGGATAACTGTGAAGAATTCATGGGGAAGTGAGAAACTGCTCCAAAAGATGGAACATCTCAGATGAAAACTATATATGGATAAATATGATGACGTAATTATGGGAAAAATTCTTTGGCAATAGGGAAGACAGCATGCAATGGCTGTGAGGAAAAAGCCCAAGAGGATATAAGAATTTCAAGTCAAAGGTAGGTAAGAATAAAAAGGCAGGAACACAGATAATATTACACTTTGCTTTGAGAGGCAATACTCAAGAAAGGGTGCAGGGCAAAAGTGGAGATGAAGGACAGCAGTCGAGGTATATAAAGGAGTCAGGCAGGTAGGTAATGTTAAATGCTGACACATCTTTATTCTAAATCATCAGGCACACATCCCACATACAAGACCACCTAAGCCTCTTACCAAAAAAGAGAACCACCCACCCACCCTGCCTGCCCCTCCCCTGTGCTGTCTTAAGAGATATGAGAACCCAACTTTCCAAGGACTCCTTTTTGTACCCATACACCTCCAAAGCTTCGACCCACCTATTACTGATGGGCGGGTGAAGAAGACATGCCACGGTTGCTTGCGAGAAAGGTACACATGTACGTGTGCACGTGTCGGAGGAAAGGAACACGCTACGCTTGCGGGGAAGTGGGGCTTGATGGGACCAAGAGCACCAGGTTTCAATCGGGGCATTTTTTTTCCTAGTGGGGGAGGGGGAGAGCAAGAGAAACATTGTGTTGCGAGCTTCCCTGAGATCTATGGATGAAAGGGGGGGATATATATATATATAGATAGATAGATATATAGAGAGATAGATATGTGTGTGTGTGTGTATATGTATATGTTTCTCTTGCTCCCCCCTCCCCCACTAGAAAAAAGGAAGAGAAAAAGAGGAGCAGCAGAGGTTTTCCAGCGGGGGCGGGCAGAAAAGAGAAAACGTGGGCAAGATGTAAGAAACATAAAGGGACCCGCGTGGGTGTGGAAACACCCGTGCATGTGCCTGGAAGCGGGGGATGAGCGCGTTTCAAAAGGGCTCGGGGCGCGAGTGGGGAAGGGGAACAGGAGCTGCAGCCGCCGCCGCCCCCCCTGACCCCACTCCTGATGCTCAGACGGGGATGATGTGGCGGCGGGGCGAAGAAAAGGAGGCGAAGGAGGTAGAACCAGGTTCCGGCCGGGGAGCGAGGCTGCTGCTGGAGCGGGGCCAAGGCGGGTGGAAGGAGAGGATAGCAAAAGCTGCTGCTTTTTCGCGAGGAGAGAAGCCGGACGGGGCAGTAGCGCATGTGGGGCAAGACCCGACGGGGCTGCTGCTGCTGCGGGGCGCCAGGGGAAGCGGGCGGGATGATTCATCCTGTCCTACTCCTCCTCCTCGGCCGCCATTTTGGAGCCGCGGCTCCGTGACCCTCCGCGGGCTCTTCCCCCTCGGCCGGCCCGGCCCCGCCGCTTCCTCCCCCCACCTCCTGCGAGTTACCGACCCGGGGCCAGCGGCCCCCTCCGCGGCCCAGCCCGCCGCCCGGCTCTTCTTACCCGCCGGCCCGCGCCGCCTGCCCCTGACGAGCTCCCGCTCCCGCCTCGACGAGCTCCGCGCCTGAGAGGAAAGGGGCGGGGCCAACGGTCCCGGGAGCTCCTCCCCCTTCCCCCCTGCGCCATCTTATTGTCAAACCCCACAAAGAAACGGTCGCCTACGCCCCCTTCTTCCCTCTCCCGCCTTGCTATTGGCGCGGAGGAGGCACGTGGGAGGCCTTCGGCACCGCCCGTCGCAGGCTTCGGCCTTCCCATTGGGTTGTGAGGGAAGCGGGGGAGACGCTCTCCGCTGAGATCATTCGCGCTGGTGTGTGGGGGGGAGTGGAGATCGCTACGGGGATTAGTCCCGCCCACCCGCCAGCCGCCTTTCCTTCTCATTCTTGGGCCCTCGGCCGGGCATTGGTGCAGGGCGTTGCCATGGAACCCAGCCCCGCCCCTCGGCTGTAAGTGGCTGGCCGGGAGGCAGGCGAAGTTTCAAACGCCTGCCAAAGGCTGGGCAGGATTCGGAGGGGAATCCCACGCGCCTTTACATGGGAGTAAGCCTCGCCGAACTTCGGGCTGCAACCCTACGCATTACTTCCGTGGACTCCCTCTTCGATTCCTTTTAAATGTTGACCCTGGTTTACTATGATATCCGGAACCTGCAAACTGTGGTTTAATTCAGATACCATGGGCTACCGTTTTTGGCCCACGTGCTAACCATAGTTGCTGTTAATGCAGAACGGTAACTCCGGGGAGGGGCCAGGGGCGTAGCCAAGGGGCAGCTGCCCCCCCTCAAGTAAAAATACTTAACTGAGGTTCTGCCCCCCCCAACATGAAGCCTGCCCCCCCCCCCACAAAAATCCTGGCTGCACCCATGGGGTGGGCTAGACAGGTTTTTTTTGCCCCAGGGGAATCTTCCAGAAGGGCACCATTGAGGCTCTCAGCTTTGTGTGTGTGTGTGTGTGTGTGCGCGCGTGTGCGCAAATGCACATAGGGGGTGCCAAAATTTATTTGACCAGGGTGAAATAAAGCCCCCCACCCCTGTTAACGCCATAGCAATCTATGGTTAGCACTCAATAGGAAACAGAGGAAGGCCTGGTATGCAGTGCTTCCCCCCCTAAAAAATGTTTAGGGGTACTCTCATTTTGACTCAAGAAAATCACCATTTTATAGTTCATATCGGGGGAAATAAATACAGTAAATGGACAAAAGTACAAAGATTCACAAAATGTTTAGGGGTATGTGTACCCCTGCGTGCCCCCTGAAGAAAAGCACTGCTTGTATGCCATGAGTTTTCTGCTACAAATCGTGTACAAATTATAATCATCTTCATCTTGCTCTCTTTTGGTTTTGACCATGCAACCTTTCAGCTTTAATTGCCCTGGTACAGAAAGAAGCAGTGGGGTTAAGTAATTGGGGCAGAATCAAGGGGTTTGTGTTCAGCGTTGTTGGTGACCTGTTAAAATGTCACTAAGTCATTTTGCCCGTCTGACTTTCTTTGTGCCACTCATCTACCTATTTTCTGTTTCCTCTTCTCAGAGGTTGCTTTCAGAATCAGCTATCCATTACCTTGTGCTTTTGTCTGTGGGTGTTTACAAAAATCAAGGGTTAATCCTAGTGGTGCAGCAATAAAACTGCTAGTGTATTTGCAAAGCTAAGCAGGGTAGCAAAACCTGCATGTGAGGTTCTCAGATCTGCACATTGGTTTCATGCTAATTCCCCTGTGGAGTACCTGTATATTCAATATAAAGGGATTCTGTAAAGTGTGAAAGCAAAAGAGAAGAAAATGGCTGCAATGTTTTAGGTCGCCTCCAGACTGCCAGTATTTTGCTGGAGGTATTCAAGCGCATACCAGAACTTTAAAGGTAAAGGTACCCCTGACCGTTAGGTCCAGTCGCAGATGACTTGGGGTTGTGGCGCTAATCTCGTTCTATAGGCCGAGGGAGCCGGCATTTGTCTGCAGACATTTTCCGGGTCATGTGGCCAGCATGACTAAGCCACTTCTGGCAAAACCAGAGGAGCACACGGAAACGCCGTTTACCTTCCCGCCGGAGTGGTACCTATTTATCTACTTGCACTTTGACGTGCTTTCGAACTGCTAGGTTGGCAGGAGCAGGGACCGAGCAACGGGAGCTCACCCTGTCACAGGGATTCGGACCACCAACTGATCGGCAAGCCCACCGACCGATTTGCAAGCCCAAGAGGCTCTGTGGTTTAGACCACAGCACCACCCGCATCCCCTCACCAGAAATTTAGGTTCATGCAATTAAACTGGGTTAGTAGAATAAAGGCACCCTAGTGCCACAAGACACCCTAGTGCCATCCATTCTTAAGGAAATCAGCCCTGAGTGCTCACTGGAAGGACAGATCCTGAAGCTGAGGCTCCAATACTTTGGCCACCTCATGAGAAGAGAAGACTCCCTGGAAAAGACCCTGATGTTGGGAAAGATGGAGGGCACAAGGAGAAGGGGACGACAGAGGACGAGATGGTTGGACAGTGTTCTCGAAGCTACCAGCATGAGTTTGACCAAACTGCGGGAGGCAGTGGAAGACAGGAGTGCCTGGCGTGCTCTGGTCCGTGGGGTCATGAAGAGTCAGACACGACTAAACGACTAAACAACATCAGTGCTACAAGTCCACTTTCAAAAGAAGCAAGACTTTTTGTGGTTAGGAAAGTGAGGGGGGAACGCAGTGAAAAGTGTGGGATGAATGAATCATTTAATGGGGAGAGTTCTAACACCCTGTAAGCAAATCAGGATGTTATTGGCATCCATCTGTTTTGAGATACAGTGGTACCTTAGGTTAAGAACTTAATTCGTTCTGGAGGTCTGTTCTTAACCTGAAACTGTTCTTAACCTGAGGTACCACTTTAGCTAATGGGGCCTCCCGGTGCCGCCGCCGCCTGATTTCTGTTCTTGTCCTGAAGCAAAGTTCTTAACCTGAGGTACTATTTCTGGGTTAGCGGAGTCTGTAACCTGAAGCGTCTGTAACCTGAGGTACCACTGTACTGCACTCTTGCCCCACTTGTGACTCCCAACAGCTGATATTCAAAGGCCTTCTACCTCTGATAGTCAGGAATACAAGAGAATGCTCCCCCCCAGCCCAGTTTCAGAGGTAGAAAGGCCGTCCAAGGTGCCAGAGAAGGCATTTCCAGGCACATGGGTGCCTATGACTGATGTGCTGCTTTCAAACCTCTGATTCAAAACTAGTATTGAAGCTCTGGAAATGAGGCAGCAAATTATTGAGAGGTGAGCTCCGTTCACAGACACTGGCGAGAACCAGTGGGAGGTGTAGCGATTAGGGCAGAGCTTTCCAAACGCTTCATGTCACTGACACACTTTTTAGACACGTATCATTTCACGACACAGTAATTCAGTTTCCCTAGCAAACCAAAGGTTAAACTAACCCCTTTCCAGCCCCAGGACAAGCGCAGGGAGCGTTTGCACGACACATCTACACTCTGCAGCCGACACACTTAACGTGTCGCGACACACAGTTTGGAAAGCTCTGGATTAGGGGTTTGGATGAAGACCTGGGAGACTGGGTGGCCTTGGGCCAGTCACTGCCTCTCAGTCTAACCTACCTCACAGGGTTGTTGTGAGGATAACATGGGGAGAGGGAGAGGCATGTTCACCACCCTGAGCTCCTTGGAGGGAAAGGTGGGATGTAAATGTAATTAAAAGCAACAACACAAATCCTGGCGAGCAGTGGGGCTGGCTACTCTGCAAGGTTTTGCCATTTTGCTCAAGCTGTACAGCTTGGCAGCACTGCAAAACTGACCCCTGGGGTGGGGAGGGAGAGGGCAGCCCTACCTATTTGGGCCCAGGATGGTTCTGCAAATATAACAGGCAACCTTTTTAGTAAGGCGCTTCTGGCAAACATCATATCCAGCTATTCCTGACGCCTTCCCTCTTTGCCGTTTTTTTTTTTTGTTTCCTCTCTCTTGCTTTCCAGCTCGCCTAGCCTGTTTTTGCACCTTTGCCAATCCTTGTGTTGAGCTCTGCTAAAAGCCTCGGGTGCTCCTCACTGGTGCTGGCTGCCTGCCTGCCTTTCAGTGATCAGGAGAGGGGGAAAGGGAAGAAGGCAGGTTTGCTCCAGGCGACAAAGGAGAAAGGAGTGAAATGCAGCCAGAGAAGCAGTAGCAAAGCTGCAGTTTCCTGCAGAACAAGGATCTTTATAGGCAAGGCAAGCAAGGAGCTGGGTGGGGGGGAAGGCAGGGCTGGAGCCTGGAAAGAGAAAATGAAGAAAGGAGAATTGTTGTAGAAGCAAAACACACACACACAGAGGGATTTCTGAACAGCAGGGTTAGACAAAGGGCCCAACTACTAGGAGAGACACAACAGAGAGGACCTTGAGCTGCCTAAGTGCAAATAAAAAGTTTTTGGGCAAGCCAAGAATGGTGGGGGCTGCAAGTCTTATTTGCTCGGAGGCTCTGTGTCATTGCCACTCGACCTAAGCCAAAAGGGTTGGAGACAAAACAAAGACAAACCAGGCAAGAAATGCCTTCGTGCAAAATGGATAAATGATATTCATTGGTAATCATGACTTTTAGATCACAGCCACACACCATGCATGCAAAACGCATGACTCTCCAACAGAATCCTGGGAACTGTGGTTTTAAGAGCATAAGGCAAGCCTGCTGGATGGGGGCAATGGAGCATCTATTTCAGCATCCTCTTCTTCCAGTAACCAACCAGGTGTCTGTGGGAAGCCCGAATGGTAACCCCTCGTACAGGCGACGCTTCCCAGTGCCTTTAACAAACTGCAGTTCCAAGGTTTCTTTGCATGAGTGTGGATTGCAGGGTGGGGGGGTAGGGGGAGTCAGGTAAGCCATGCACTCTAAAGGTCTGGTGAGGATGTAACCTTATTCACACAGACAATCAATTGCCTTGTGCGGTTTCCCCATTAAGGCGCAGGCTAGGGCACAGCCCTGCCAGTTATAATCCCTACACACAGTTTCAAAGACCAGCGACGAGAGCACAGTGGTAATGTGAACATAGCCTGAATCAGAAAAATGGTCCCTCTAGCTCAGTATTCCAGTAGTGATGTATGGAAGTGAGAGCTGGACCATGAAGAAGGCTGATCGCCGAAGAATTGATGCTTTTGAATTATGGTGCTGGAGGAGACTCTTGAGAGTCCCATGGACTGCAAGATCAAACCGATCCATTCTGAAGGAAATCAACCCTGAGTGCTCACTGGAAGGACAGATCCTGAAGCTGAGGCTCCAATACTTTGGCCACCTCATGAGAAGAGAAGACCCCCTGGAAAAGACCCTGATGTTGGGAAAGATGGAGGGCACAAGGAGAAGGGGACGACAGAGGACGAGATGGTTGGATAGTGTTCTCGAAGCTACCAGCATGAGTTTGAGCAAACTGCGGGAGGCAGTGGAAGACAGG